TTCACACAGAATGAACATTTACAGAGATTTGCAGGGTGAATTGCTCTGCGAATTTGTTCTAAATAGACACCTAAGTGTACCTTCGTCTTTCCCTATCCTGTAGGGCATTTATTGTTCATTCCTATTGAGAATTCACTGGGGGTCACCTAAATGCACACCAATACTAATACAGCTTTGCCCTCCCTCAGCAGTTTGGTCTCATGTTATACTTACTGGTAATCCCACTCCTGTCAGCTCATAGGTATGAGGTTTGTCTAACGCCACACATTTCTCTCAAATGCTTAAAATTCTGCACATCTGTCAGGCATTCATTTGTGTTTTTTGCTGTGTGTCTAGGATTCAGAATGAGGGACTGTTAAGTGTTAGAGGATGGTTATTATAGGGACAAACTTAGGGGAATGGCAAGATTTACAGTTAAGTGTTTATTTAGAAAGCAGTGAATATGTCTTTCACCAGGCAGTCCCTGCAGGTTAATCTTCTTGGTGCATGTGTTTAAAATCATAGTGTTTCACATGCAGCTCACAAAGCAGGTGAATAAAGCAGTAAATATGACTTTTGCATTTGGTGAAATTCACATTTACTGCCTTATAATTATACCCTTTTTGTTGGCACCGAGAGCTCTTTGCCAAAAACATAAACAAAAAGTTCTGTAATGTTAAAGACATTTTACAAACATTGCAGGTGAATATTCTTGGTGCATGCTTTTAAAATCACAGTGTTTGATTCACCTGCAGATGCATAAAGCAGTAAATATGACTTTTGCATTTGGTGAAATTCACATTTACTGCTTTATAAATATACACTTATTGTTGGCACCGAGAGCCCTGTGCCAAAAACACAAACAGCTGTTGATCTTGTTAAAGACATTTCACCACTCATCCAAAATGGCTACCACAGTTCAAACAAGCATGAAAGACATACCTCAGCTTTAGGAAGGTCAACTCTGCAAGTCAGAACTTAGGAGTCTTTCTACACTTAAGGAGATGGGACATTATTTTGAAGAGAGTGACATGCAGATTTTGGAGAACAATTGCTTTTCAAGAGGCATGGGAGAGGTAATTGATATCAAGCTGAAACAGCCAACTGGAAACAGTGATGAGGGGTCTTGAACACTATCTTTCATCCACATATAGTGCTGTTTTAAATGTCTAAGCAAGCAACCGGACAACAATTCACCCCTCTAGCCAGGTACCTCATACAATTAACACCTGCCCCAGACTTTACAGCCCGAGGTGATCACATTATGTAATTACAACAGGGTGGCTTCAGAAGCTTTCATATTGACATTATGCTCTTCAACATCTGCCTTGACACATTTCATGATACTATGGTGATTGGCTACGCATATGACTATAAATGCTGTGGTATGCTCTTGACACTCATTTGAACTGAGGGAGTCAGGTGGATATGTGGTAAAATGTTTTCAACATTACAGAAAAATTCAAATCCAATATGGCCCACTACTACTAGCAGTCATGACTGCTTGTTTCTAAAGTGAGTAGGCATGTGACTTGCTCGGTGCAACAATAATTTAGCTTTCCTTTATTATCTTGTAAGTAAGTTTTAGTGGGCGTGTGTTGGGGCATTAAAGAATAAAGAGAGCAAGATTTCACACCCCAAATTCATTGATTAAAAGAAACTACATTGAGTAAATTCCACCTTAGGGTGTGCAATTACCGAAAGGGGAGGGACTTTTAAAAAATACTATAAACTCTCTAATTGTATAAAAATATTAAATTAATTTATTACATAATTGGAAATAAATAAAATTGAAACATAATTGGTCTATTCCACATGAAATATAGGTGTCACTTCAAGTCAACAATTGTTATTAAAGTAGGACATAGTAGATGACTCATTCAGATAAAACCTGACATGTTTCGCCCTACTGGGCTTCTTCAGAGTACGCATGGGAATCGTGTCAAGAGAGCAAAGCAGCAACAACAATCGAGGGAATCAGTAAAAGAGGGTTGTATTGAACAGGCACAAATAGGGATTCATAAAATAATGATTCAATGAGAATGATAAGTGAAATAAACTCTGTGTAGTGATACAAATATCATATTTATTTTGTTTATATAATATTAATAATACTGAGTAGTGACAATTAAATTTATAGTGACTAATGAAGCATAGTGATTAATGTATGTGAAATTGTGTACATGTACAACAAATGGGTGAAAAAATAAATTAAATATTGGTGAATAATTACTTAAAATATCGAAATACTCATAAATGTGTGTGCATAACAATAATAAAACATTTAACAATATGCATAGTCATAAAGGTTGCATAAGTGAAACTGAAGATAGCAATCAATAAGTGCAAGTGCAAAAGTGCCCAGATGCCAAGATTCCCAGATTCCTTTATTATCTTGTTTAGATCAGTTATGGTGCAACAGATCCTCTCCTAACCAATAAGCACATCTACCCTTCCTTCTTCCAAACACTCCCTAGTGACCAGACTCAGTATCTGGCAATTGCTAGGTTGATGAAACATTTTGGCTGGACATGGATTGGTGTTATAACATCCCATGATGATGCTGGCGTGAAACGAAGTCAAGAGTTAAAGAGAGTGGTTGCTGTTTTTGATATATGTATTGAGTACATTATTCATATAGTTCCTGAAGGTTTTCCAGAAAGACAAGAAATGACACTTACAAAAACAGAGATATTTAATAAATCAAGCTCGAAAATTGTTATTCTTTGTTCCATTTCATTGACCATCATCAGGTTCATTGGGCAAGCAAATGACGGTCATCATGATAAAACATTAATTGTTCCAGCAAGCCCTATAGTCCACTATCTGCTTGCTTCAACATTCAAGACATTGCTCCACGGAAGTCTGGTGTTCTCACCTTCAAAAAAGAACATCCCAGATCTGAAAAGATTTCTAGATGACATCAGCATCACAAATCGCCCAAATGACCTTCTGCTAGAACATATCCTTGCAATTTACTTCAACTGCCTAACCTCAAATCAGTTATTAAATTCTGAGATTGAGAGCCAATATGTTAAAGCACTGCATCCATGCAACAGCAGTGTCAAGATACGTGAACTAGCCAATCATCAATATGACACTGAATGGTTTGGCACAGCTTACCAAGTTTACAAAGCTGTTTATGCCATGGCACATTCTCTTCATGAAATGCAATTGTTTATGTCCAGACATTTTGGAAAAAGCTACCTAGCAGGTCATAAATACATCAAAAAGGTAACAGAATCTCTGTGTCTTCGACTTTTCTCTCACGCCGATATTTAAAATGAGCTCATTAGACTGGAAATTGGGTTAGGAGGGCCCTGCTCGTGAGAGCTTACAATCTAGTAGGAGGAGCAAGTGATACAAAAGGTAATAATTGTTTAGAATGAGTTAGTGGAAGAAGTAAAAGGGCAGAAGTGGGATAGGCTTCCCTGAAGAGAAAAGTTTTAAAGAATCGCCTAAATGTGGACAGCATAGGAGATAAGCAGACAGATTGGGATAAGGAGTCCCAGAGGGTGGGAGACACTCTGGAGAAATCCTGGAGGCAATCATGGGAGGAGGTAATGAGAGAGCTAGAGAGCAGGAGGTCTTGAGGGGAGCGGAGACGACTAGGGCTGCAACAACTAATTGAATAAATCAATAATAATCGATGATGAGAATCGTTGGCAACGATTCTAATCATTGATTAGTTGATATTTGATTACTTGCCCCCTTCTGCTCCTCCATTCTTCTCCCTGCTGGTCCTGGCTGCAGCGGTCTGTGTCCCTTTCAATCCCTGATGCTCATCGCGCCTGAAACGGCAGAGGCAGCAGAGACACAGACCACTGCAGCCGGCACCAGTGGGGAAAAGACTGCGGTGACTCTGCAATCCCCCAGTGCCCCCCTCCTGTACCTCTGCTGCTGCTCCATTCCTCCTCCACTGCCCGCACCATTCCTCCTCCTCTGCCTGCCCCATTCTTCCTCCTCTGCTCGCCCCTTTTTCCTCCACTGCACGCCCCATTCCTCCTCCACTGCCCACCCCATTCCTCCTCATCTGCCTGCCCCATTCCTCCTCCTCTGCCTGCCCCGTTTCTCCTCCTCTGCCCACCCCATTCCCTTCTCTGCTCCCCCATGCCCCCTCTTCTCCCGGTGTTCTATCAATTCCTTGGGCTCAAGTACGAGGGATTGATAGAATACCGGCGTCAAGTCTCCCATCTGCGACTGGAAACAATAGCCAGCCTGCTATTGGATATTTTAAATTGTGATAGCCAATAGCAGGCTGTCTATTGCACCCACCCACTGCCTACTGTCAGTCAGCAGAGGAGGACCTGAAGGAGAACTTTCTCCTTCAGTTCCCTCCTTTGCTGATTGACAGCAGGAAGTGGATGGGTGCAAAAGCCAGCCTGCTATTAGCTATTGCAATTTAAAACAACCAATAACAGGCTGGCTATTGCTCCAAGCCACAGCCTGCTATGTTGACATTCAGCTGCCTAAGCAGCTGAATCCAATGAGTGCGCTACACATGTCAGGTATTGCCGCATATATTATTTTAAATTAAGGATGGCATTTTTTTATCTGATTAATTGAAAACAATTATTGGCTAACTAATTGATTATGAAAATAATCGTTGCCTGCAGCCCTAGAAAGGACGGTTTGGGTGATGTTTTGAGATGAGGTTGGAGAGGTAGTCAGGGGCTGAGTTGTGGATGGCTTTGTATGTTGTTGTTAATAGTTTGAATTTTATACGTTGGGCAAGTGGGAGCCAGTGGAGCAATTGGCAGAGAAGGGCGGCAGACACTCAACGGTCGGTAAGGTGGATGAATCTGGCAGCAGCATTCATAATAGACTGAAGGGGGTAACCTGTTTAGTGGTAGGCTAACAAGGAGGGAGTTACAGTAGTGGAGACAAGGGATTGCAAGGGAGTGAATTAGAAGCTTTAAGGTTTCCTTTGTTTAAAAGGGGCACATTTTAGAAATGTTACAGAGATTGAGTTGGCAAGATTTAGATAGTGATTGGATGTGGGGCTGAAAGGAGAGCTCAGAATGAAGGATTACACCGAGTACCATGGATTGACTGGAGGGTTTGATTGTAGTGCTGTTGATTGTGATGGAGAGGTCGGGGGAATGAACATAGAGAGAAGGAAATATAAGCTCAGTTTTGTACAGACTGAGTTTGATCTAGTGGTGTGACATCCAGGCTGAGATGTCAGTGAGTAGATTGGCGATACATGAAGAGACAAAGGGGGAGAGCTGAGGATTGGAGAAATATATTTGGGTGTCATCAGCATAAAGATGGTATTGGAAGCCATGGGAGGCTATCAACTGAGCAAGGGAAGATGTATAGATGGAGAATAGAAGGGGCCCAAGGACATACCCTTGATGAACCCTACAGAAAGGGGAAGAGGAGAGGAGGAGGTAGAATTGTAGGTGACACTGAAGGTGCGCTGAGATAGGTAGGGGGTGATCCATGAGAGAGCAGAGTCTTGGAGGCCAAGGGATTGGAGTTTATTAGGGAGAAGCGGGTGGTCAACTGTGTCAAAGGCAGCAGAAAGGTCTAAAAGTATGAGTCTAGAGTAGTGGTCATGGGTTTTAGTAGTTAGTAAATCATTAATAGGTTTTAGAAGGGCAGTTTCTGTGGAGTGTTGTGAACGAAAGCCAGATTGAAATGGGTCAAGGAGATTGTTAATGGTAAGGTGGCAGCTCAGGTGGTTGTAGACCGTTCAAAAAGTTTGGAGGTAAATGGGAGCAAGGAGATGGGTCCCAAGTTGTTTAGAAAAAAGAGGGTTTTTTTTTTAATATGGGGATCACAATTGCTTGTTTTTTTAGTTTCAATATACAGTAATACCTTGGTTTACAAGTAACTTGGTTTGAGAGCGTTTTGCAAGACAAGCAAACATTTCTGAAAAATGTTGCCTTGATATACAAGCAAATGTCTTGCAATAAGAGCAAAATTCTGTAGAAAAGCGCCACCCGAATAAGGCTGTAGCAGTGCGAGCGATGAATCTGTTTAACGACAATGCAACGTCACATTGAATAGATTCCTTGTTAAGGTTTCACAAAATGAAAAAGATTCCATTGAGTCAAGAGATAGCAGTGATTCCGTTAGTGACAGTGAAAGTCGTCCTATACAATAATCCTCCTCTCTCTTGTCCCCCTCACACCAGCCACAAAGTTACCGGTAATTGGTTTATTTTTCTTTATATTTTATACAGTATTATATTACAGTACAGTATTATATTACAGTATTGTAATCATTTTATATGAATATTTTTGGGTTGTGGAACGAATCATCTGAATTTCCATTATTTCCTATGGGGAAATTCGCTTTGATATACAAGCGCTTTGGATTACAAGCATGCTTCCGGAACGAATTATGCTCGTAAACCAAGGTATTACTGTAGTTTATTGTCATTTTCTGTCAAATTCAAGTAATTAGTACATACACTCAAACAACAAGTACATGTATGTGGATATGTTACAGACAATGGTGTTTATATATAACAAAACATTTGCTCTACGAAACCGACACACAATTGCATGTTTAAAAGGGGTAGCGATGACACCCTTAGAAAGAGAGAGATTGAAGATGTGAGTAAGAGAGTGTGGAATAAAGCTAGAGGGTGACTGGAGTAATTGTGAGGGGATGAGGTCCAGGGGGCAGGTGGTTAGGCATGCGTTAGACAAAAAAGTAGCGACTTCGTCTGTTGTAACTAAATCAAATGAAGAGAGTAATGAATGTGGTGGTATACAAAGTGCGTTTGGAATGGGAGAGGTCTGGAAAGTGGAGATTTCTTAGCGAATTGCATCAATCTTATCTCTGAAGTGATTGGCAATCTCCTGGGCAGTCAGTGAGTTGGTTGGAGGAGGCAGAGGGGGACAAAATATGGAGTAGAATAGAGCTGATGCAGACTAGATGTTCACGCAACTGACAGCTGAGCGGAGCCAGCCGTGATCTCACTGCTCGTTCCCCCAAGATGTAATGACAGATCAGCGTCCCCAAATGACCTGGGGGAGCTGATCTGTCATTAAACAATAACAACTGGGCGGAGCCGGCCATGGCATCACGGCCAGCTCCGCCCTGTTGTTATTTATTGCCCGGGGGCCTGCTAGAATACTCTGGCAGGTGCCGTCCAATAGGAAACAGTTGGGCCAGGAAACAGTTTTATATTTTGCGGCGGGAGTTCGTCGCATGTGGTCGGGTCAGCATCCATCTGTTTTAAAAAAAATGTTTTCTTTTCTTACATTTTTTTTATTATTTTCTTAATTTTCCTGTTTTAATTTTTTTTATGTTTCACATTTTTCCCCCCATTTATTTAACTTATTCTCTATTCTTCTCCTTACCTCGGAACTGCCGGAGCTTCGTCTCAGGCGATCCAGATGTTGGATCGACTGAGTCGAACTCCTTCTGCACTTTGACTCAGCCGAACATGCAGAGCTGAAATCAGCCGTACAAGGCTGAAGTGAATAGCCAAACGGTTTTCGGCTCACTTCACTTCTGCTGGTTTATTCACACGGCTGCCTTCGGCAGCTAAGTGAATAACCCCCTAAGAGATTTCTGACATTTAAAGTTCTGCAATATTTTGTAATATATTTACTCAGTAGCCCATAGCTCAATTTTCAAATGTCTATTCTTTAAGCACTTTCTACCAAGAGTTCGATTCCAAGATCCAGTGGGGGAAGACGTCTATTTTAATGAGAAAGGAGAAATGGCTACTTTTTACAACATATATAGTTATGCGGCTGTAACCAATAATAGCTTGAGATACCAGGAATTAGCAATTTTTAATGCATCATCCCAAGAGCAAGAGGCACTCGTAGTCAACCAAGGTGTATTCTATTGGAAACATGGCATGGTAAGTGTGTAACTAAAGCTAAATAAAATCCAATATATAAAAAAATGGGAGGTTATATAGGTAGGGCATATAAGTGTATTTTTATACAATAAAGGAAAGCTATGCTGAGAGGAATATGTAGCCTTCTACTACCGCTAACTTGGTTTCTATCGGTGCAGACTCACCCATTCAGCACCGCTTATCTTCCTTCCCATGAGCCCAAGCAATAAAGGCTCTTGCCTTGCATTATACATAATGTATATATACAGTATATATCTATATATAGATATATATATAGATTTTATATATATATCTATATATCTATATATATCTATATCTATACACATATACTGTATGTAGTCACCCTGCCCTAAGCTGGGTGATTTCTTAAACTTAGTTCTATTGCACTGTGCTCAGTCTAGCTAATTTGATAGTCTGTGATAATTTGGCTTTCCCCAAGTGTTCTGCTATTGTTTGTATCCGCCTACTGCTGGGTGTGACCTTGCATAATAGCACACTAGGGCTAAAAGCTCCAGGAGGCTTTTTAAAATGGTTTTACTTTGGCTTTAAGGCATCCCCCAAGCATGGTAGGATTTGTTTACTTTTTATGTTGTCCAGTAAGCCGAACTTTATCTGGTTTGCTCTTAGCCATAAGGCACACAAGGAATGGAAATCGGTAAGCAATTTCAGTAGGGTGTAAGATTTAATTCCCTAGAGCCAGCACACAGTGGTGGGGTAGTTCTGAACAGTGACACTATCTCCCATGTTAAAGGATATTTCCAAAAGGAAAATAAGGAAGAATTGAATGGATTTTCTTATCTTTCCTATTATCTTATAGACTTTCTTTATATTTATTATTGTTTAGATTCCCACTGCTACATGTTCTGAAGAATGCCCTGAAGGTTACAGAAGAACCATAAAGAAAGGAAATCACCGATGCTGCTTTGAATGTATCCAGTGCTCAGATGGAGAAATCTCTAATGAAACAGGTGAAAAGTCATCCTTCACTTTATATATATATATACAGGTGAAACTCGAATAATTAGAATATCGTGCAAAGTTCATTTATTTCACTAATACAACTTAAAAGGTGAAACTAATATATGAGATAAACTCATTACATGCAAAGCAAGATAATTCAAGCCGTGATTTGTCTTAATTGTGATGACTATGGCTTACAGCCATAAAACCCCAAGAACCCCAAATCCACAACCTCAAAAAAGTAGATAATTACATGCAATCAATAAAACAAGGATTGTACATAGAACAATATCGGACCTCTGAAAAGTACAAGCATGCATATGTACTCAGTACTTGGTTTGGGCCCCTTTTGCAGCACTTACTGCAATTACTTTTGCATGATATTCTAATTATTCGAGTTTCACCTGTATATATATACACACACACACACACACACACATACATACATATATATTCATAATTTCTATTCTATGGCTCCTTTTTTTTCAGCTGTAAAAGGGATTGCTTCAAAATAAATGAGCTACCTTACTGCAACGCACATTGAATTGTGACATAATGTGCATGCATTACCCTGCATGCCATAATGAACCAATAGTGAACTAAACCTAAAATTGTAGGACTATAAATTGTCTACATTCTCAAATTAGAAAATTCATTTTTCAATATTGAAAATACTAAAACCATGACAGTGCTCTAAATTTCACAGTGTAATTTTTGCACTTTGGGCACTGTCACTGTGATTGTTAATACTAAGCACTTTGTTACCTTCAATGACTGTAATAATACAATAGGTGGAGAAGTTAGAGCATCTGCCTTGGGTCAGCCAAACATGCTCTGCGCCAAAGTGCAGAAGGAGTTTGACTCAGCCGATCCAACATCTGGATCGGCTGAGCCGAAGCTCCGGCAACTCACTCGCTACCGTTCACCCAAAATTCATAGGGGCCGAACGGCAGTGAGTGAATAGCGGAATGCTGCTGAATGGCATTCGGCCCGGCTATTCTGCTTGCTACCTCCGAGGTAGTGAGCAGAATAGAGCAAAATGTAAATAAATGTAAAAAAAGATGTTTAAAAAGTATTTTTTTTTTTTTTTTAAATACGAAAATTTAAATAAAGTTAAGAAAATAATAAAAAAATTTAAAGAAAGAAAAAACCCCCCCAATAAATTAATAAATAAATAATAATAAAAAAGACGCACACCAACCTGACCACACACAACATAATGTCAAATCTGACAGATGCCGGCAAAATATAAACAATTGGGCGGAGCTAGCAGTGACAGCTGCCCAGCTGTCGTTTGCGTGGAGAACGGTTGGCCCGTGAATAGCCCATACAGCAGCCCTTCAGTTCGACTGAAGAGAAGGGCTCCGGTGGCCGAAGTGAGCCTAAGGATCAGCCGAAGCTACAGCTGGATCCTTTGGCTCTACAGTGAAAAACCCTCTAAAAAAAGTGCATTTCAATTTTAGAATTTAGTTCAAACACCTTTTTGATGTTTAAGTGTTACTCCTTATGCCTTTCATTCCCAAACAATCTTTGTAGAAAAAACATTTTTTATTGACTTTCCATCTGAACTTTGTTTTAGATAAAACGTCATGCATAAAGTGTCCGGAAGACAAGTGGCCGAATGATAAGAATCAGTGTTTTCCCAAACCAGTGGAATACCTCTCATACAAGAATGATCCAATTTCCATTGTAGTTTCTGCAATCTCTGCATTATTTTTTATTAAAACGTCAATTATTTTGGGCATGTTCATAATATATCGAGATACTCCAGTCATCAAAGCTAATAATCAAAATCTAAGCGTCCTATTACTGGTCTCCATAATGTTGAGTTTCCTCTCTATTCTTTTGTTCATAGGCCGTCCAATGCGCGCCAGCTGCATGGCTCGACACACCGCATATGGAATAATCTTTTCAGTGGCTGTAGCCTCTATTCTGGCCAAGACTATCATGGTCTACATGGCCTTCAAAGCCAATAAGCCTAGACATTCCTGGAGAAAATTGGCTGAAATAAAAGTTGCCAACTCTGTTGTCCTTATCTGCCCATTTATCCAGGTTTTAATTAGCTTAATATGGTTATGTATTTCCCCTCCATTTCCAGAAAATAATATTCATTCATATCCAGGCAGAATTTTCATTCAGTGTAATGAAGGATCTGTGGCGGCATTTGCCATCCTCCTGGGTTACATGGGACTTCTAGCAGCTGTGACCTTCATTGCAGCTTTCCTGGTCAGAAATTTACCAGATAGTTTCAACGAAGCCAAATGCATCACCTTCAGCATGCTGGTGTTCTGCAGTGTCTGGATCGCTTTTATCCCAGTTTATATGAGTGTTAGTGGGAAGAATACGGTGCTTGTAGAGATACTTGCCATCATTTTTTCAAGTGTTGGAGTTCTTGGCTGTATATTTCTTCCAAAATGTTACATTATTGTGATAAGACCAGATTTAAATGTAAAAAAGATTTTACTGAGGCATGCTCACCAACATTCAAAGCTTTCTCATTCTAATTTCTAGACATTTGACATTAAAGAGAAACTATAGCGGTTTTTGGTGAATTTTAAGTTAAATTATTTTTGAAAGTTAATGTTTTTAAATGTTTTGTTTAATTTGTTTTTGTTACATTAAATAAATAATATTGGTGCTTCCATTCTTCAGAACTGAAAGTAAGAGAGAGCAGTGCTAGTTCTGCACTCATCAGGTGATGAGTGCAGGACCCGTTCACACCACAAAGAGTGCGTTTCAGAGCATTCAGCCTCTGGAACGCACTGGAACGCAACCTGGCTGGCTCCCTGCATTCAGAGGCGGGAGTGGGCATGGCGGTGCATTGAAGTCCATGCTACATGCACTATTTTTGCAGATCACAATGGACCGGAACACAGGCACCAATGTGCCACGTCTTCGGGTGCCAGCTAACACACTGCAGGTGAGGGGCATGGCTGCGATGCCATTGACTTCAATGCACCGCCACGCCCCCTCCAGCCACTGAAGGCAGGAAGCCGACCGAGTTGCACTCCAGTGCGTTCTAGAGGCAGAATGCACTCTTTATGGTGTGAACCAGCCCTAAAACAGCATGGTACTGAACAGCAGGAACTGTCCTTCCCCTGGGCCATTCAGATACATGTGTCTCCATATGTTTGACTGTGTCTACAGGCCTCTTTTTAAGTCAGAACTGCTTCTCTCCTCATACAAGTCTATGGGAATGCAAAAGCAGCTTTACGCAGGTCAAGTGCCAGTCAGAAGGGGGCCAACAATACATTGAATATACCTGTAAAATTAATTGTGGATGACCTTAGAACAGTCACAAACCAATATCTAAAGTTATTTGCATTTGCCCATAGACACCATCCCTACTCTTAGATCCTTTTATTTAAAACTGTTCATAACACAGTAAACGATATGCTTAAAGTGACATTAAACCCTTAGATGTTTTAACATAAACCAATACTGTAATGTGTGCCTTACTGTAATGCATGGTTGTTTCCCTTCTCTTTGCTGCTCTTCCTTTTAAATCCTCATGTCTTCTCATGCTTGGGGAGAACTTCCCTTTTCAGCTCAGTGCCTCTTCCTGTAGTGCTGGCTCAGGTTACAAGCCTATACAAACGTATACACAGACACCGTGTATCCATTCCTGAGACAAGGCAGTCTGCTGCAAAACAGAAGTTCTGCAGAGCATGAGAACAGATACAAATTTAAAAGGAAGAGCAGCAAAGAGAAGGGAAACTACCATGGATTACAGTAAGGCACACATTACAGTATTGTTTTATGTTAAAAAATCTCAGGGTTTAATGTCACTTTAAGTTAGGTGTTTGTTTTTTTTTAAACAAAAAGGTGCTCCAGATGTGTTTGCCATAATGTGCTAACATGCACAGCAGCCATGGCCTGACATCATAAGCATTAGATCACACCCATTGATACTATAATGTTAATAACCTGCCTCAGGACTGAAATGCACTCACCACATTTATGAAAGCACTCGGGAAGACATATATTTCAAAGGTACTGCAGCACACAAATTTTGACCCTTCCTAGCAATGTTAAAAACTGACTTGCTCCTTTCTTGCTCATGACTTTAATAGGTGCACACACAGGCAAGTAGGAAGGTGTGGGAGGCCATATGAGTTGAAAATTTGCATATTAGAGCCAACACTTTGGCGCTCCTAGGGCATTAAAGGTGAACTATGGGGTGCAAGGTTTTCTTTACTTTTGGATTCCATGGGCTATAGGAGTACATTTTGCAATTTACTCCTACAATTCAAAATGCACCCTAAACATACAATTGTTACTTTAAGATGGTGGACGGGGCTATGCATGTTCCTTGAGAACTACTGCGCGTCCATGAATACATGGGCATGCGCAGCAGCTCTCTTCCTACCTCCGTCCCCGTCGTCTGCGCCAGCAAATTACAGCGCGTGCATGGAAGGCCGTTTCCCCTCAGTGCTTCCGCCCCTCTTTCCTCTCTCTTCATCTTGAAAATGTGCAGCAGTTGTATGGAAACCTGTTCCCGTAAATCTTAGTTCCCCTGACTGTTCAGCTATTACCATAACCCCGCCTCTTCCTCACAGCTGCTTAGTATTTACATAGCCCAGCCCCCTCTCTGCAAGCTCCGGTGTTCTATGAGAAAGAGACGAATGTCTCCTCTCACATTGTGTGCTCTAATCGTTCAGCTTCAATCCCCCGCCCACTGCACAGGAAATCTCTGACTTGTCTACCCGTCACATGTCACCGCTCTCAGTGTTAGTATGTAAATACTAAGCAGCTGTGAGGAAGAGGCGGGGTTATGGTAATAGCTGAACGGTCAGGGGGAACTAAGATTTATGGAGAACAGGTTTCCATACAACTGCTGCAAAAATCTGATTACTGAGACAGAGCAGGAGAAGATCGGATGAAGAGAGAGGGAAATACTGGTAAGAGAGAGGGAAAGAGAAGGGAGGCTGAGTCAACTTGCTGCTTCTCAGTTGAGACTCCTGCTCCCACATGTCAGCGTGCACACTCCAGCCGTACACCGTGTGCTTGACAAGAGAAAGCGCAGCCACGGCAGAGAGAGTTAGAGGGCGGGGCTGCATTCCCTGTTAACGCCCCCTAAGAGGAAAGAAGCTTGGAGCATGGCTGCAGGTGGCTGTTTTCTGTGATTTTTTATTAATTTATCTGGGATGTGCTGCGACTTTAGAAAAGAAGAAGAATGCTATTAGAGTAAACGCAAGAAGTACTTTTATTTGCCTTTAGGTCATAATTCTCCTTTAAGTAATCTTTTATTGGGCATCTGCACTGCATTTTAAGTCTTGGATAAAGTAGGGAATAGATACAATCCTGGTGAAGTTACTGGTTGTTTAACCAAAAGGTCTTGTCTATCCCACTGTGTTGATATAAAAATAAGTTGTTGCCTGTTTGATAATTCCTTTGCATGTAAATAAATAGATGTGTGCCATGTTTAGATTTTTTTGCTATACAGACATTCCTTGCTTACCAACTTACCTGTTTTGCTCTTCACTCACCTCATAGTTCTAGCCGACCTGTGACAATGAGACTGTCACAGGTCAGCTCAGTAGATCGGGAGGTGAGCGAACAGATACCAGCATTCACTCATCACTCGATCCTGTCACGGCTCTCTGCCGTAACAGGGGAGGGGCTGGATTCCACCCTCCCCGCTCCGATCCGCCAGCGCTGACTGGCGGAACGGACAGGGGGCGGTACAGCTGGCTCTGCCTCTAGATAGTCAGAGCCAGCTGTCAGTCAGGCAGCTGGGCGGATCCCGGCACAATTGTCGGGATCTGCTTCAGCTGTGGCGTCTCAGTATACCGCGAGCAGCAGCTCGCGGTATAATGCGGCTTCTCAGTATACCGCGAGCTGTATACTGAGCCTAGGGTGAAGGGAGGACGCTAGTTTGTGTCCTCCCATTACCCTAAGGAGAACTATGGGGAAAAGCCTTAACCCCATAGTTCTCCTTTAAGCTGTGGTAACAATGCACTCTTACCTCACATTATATTTTTCATTATATCATCCAGTGTTGCCCCAATCACTCAAAAAAAGGTAAATATGTGAGGGCTTTCTTAGGAGTCTTATCAGCTGACCAGCATTTAAGCTACAACATATGGTGAAAACTGACAGCCAAAAAATTAATTCTGGAAACAAGAAGTCCGGTATCTAGCAAAGCGTTACACACATATTAAAAACCAGAAAATAATTGATCCATCAGTTCCACATAGACAGGAGAAACATGTTCACTCTCCAGTCTGATTTGAACATTGAACTGATCACTCTCTAGCTTGATATGGTTATCCATTTCCCCTCCTTTTCCAGAAAAGAATACCTACTAATTTCTAGACAAAATTATCATTCAGTGTAATGAAGGATCTCCGGTGGCATTTTCCATATTCTTGGGCTACATGGGGCTTCTAGCAGCTGTGAATTTCTTTGTGACTTTCCTGGCAAGAAATGTATCAGATAGTTTCAATGAGGCCAAATACATCACCTTCAGCATGCTGGTGTTCTGCAGTGTCTGGATCGCTTTTATCCCAGCTTATATGAGCGTTACAGGGAAGAACACTGTGCTCGTAGAGAGATTTGCTAAAATTTCTTCAAATATAGGAATTCTTGCCTGCATATTTTTTCCAAAATGTTATATTATTCTGATGAGACCAGATTTAAATACAAAAAAATTCACTGATAACCAAAGTCTTTTATACTGCAGTAATTCATATTCCTTTCAGATAGAGGAGGGCTATCCAAGAAGGTAAAAGGGTATTTGTCCCCAGAGCCAGTGAGCTGGTGGTCGTGAGTAGAGACATTTTGCATTTAGACATTGATTTGCCATATGCAGCACCTTTCCCCATATAGGTTAGTCATTGTGGCACCATGACAAATTTCCATAAAAGGACTAACTGGTTGTGTTTGCTCATTTCCTTGATAAAAATGGCATATATTTTTTTATATATTGAATTATTGGCCCAGTTTCACTGATTCACATTGTAAATGTACATTCACATTGGCAATTCACATTGCATGTGCAAGTATAAAGTAAGTTGTGTCATTTTTGGCATTTGATTCAGTTGAAATTTCTAGTCTACTCAATTCTGTATTCTTACTCTATGCTGTATATTAGTTTCAGCATTTATTAAAAAACATTGTTCATGTAGAGTCATCTGGTGGGTGTCCAATCTCTGTATATCAATTATTTGAAATGTAGGAGCACCAAATGTAAATTATTTGAAGACATTCAAGTTGTTTGAAGTTTTGTCCTATTTCTGTTAAAAAATCTAAAATGCGTTTCCAATGCACTTCTGGTGTGCCCTCTTCTTCAGGGGATTTTAAATCTAGTAACCTGCACAGATTTGTTTAGTGAAAATGAAGTTATTGCATCGCTTTGCCTGAGCAGATAACACAGACAGAAGCAGTCTTGGCATACTCTATAATTAATATGACAACCCAGATGTCTGTCATCCTCTACAGCAGAGGTTCTCAACCTGTGGGTCACAACCCCATCAGGGGTCGAATGACGATTTGCCAGAGGTTGCCTA